TCTGTGGTTGACCTTCCGGGCATGAAACCAAATTGGTTTGTAGATACCCGTGTCCTTCCTCGCAAGCGTTGCTCGATGACTCTCTCCCATAGCTTCATAGTGTGGCTCATCAACTTAATCCCACGATAGTTATTACAACTCTGGATGTCACCCTTGTTCTTGTAGATTAGTACCAAAGTGCTTCGTCTCCACTCCTCAGGCATCTTGTTCGATCGGAAGATATTATTGAACATCTTGGTTAGCCATACTATAGCTAAATCCCCAAGGCATCTCCACACCTTGATTGGGATACCATCCAGGCCCATCGCTTTGCTCCCTTTCATCCTTTTAAATGCTTCTCTGACCTCTGATTCTTGAATCCTCCGCTCAAAGCGCCTATTGGTGTCATCAAATGAGTCGTCCAACTGAACGGAGGAGTTCTCGTTCTCCCCATTGAACAACTTGTCGAAATACTCTTGCCATCTTTGTCTGATCTCATCCTCCTTCACCAAGAGTTGCTCCCTCTCATCCTTAATGCACTTGACTTGAATGAAGTCCCTCGTCTTCCTATCACGAGTCCTAGCCATCCTATAGATGTCATTTTCTCCTTCCTTCGTATCTAGACATTTGTACAAATCTTCATAAGCCCGTCCCTTTGCCTCCGCCACCTCTCGTTTTGCAGCCTTCTTTGCCACCTTATACTTCTCTATGTTATCTGCACACCGGTCCTGGAACAAGCGCTTATAGCCTTCCTTCTTCTCCTTAATTGCCTTCTGAACATCCTCATTCCACCACCAAGTGTCTTTCATAGCGCATCCACTTCCTTTGGTCACTCCCAGCACCTCTGCAGCAACCTTTCGAACGCATGTCGCCATCTTCTCCCACATATTGTTGGCGTCACCTTCGTCCTTCCATGGGTCCTCTTCAATAACTCTTTCCTTGAAGACCTTTGATGCCTCCCCTTCTAATTTCCACCACTTTGTCCTTGCAATCTTGGCTTGTTTAGCCCTACGAGTTTGCACCAGAAAGCGAAAGTCAGCCACCACTAGCTTGTGCTGAGACACCACACATTCCCCAGGTATCACCTTACAATCCACGCAAGCACGTTTATCTCCCCTTCTTGTAAGGACAAAGTCAATTTGACTGCAGGAAAAGCCACTACTAAAGGTCACTAAGTGGGACTCTCGCTTTTGGAAGAAAGTGTTTTCTACCATCATATCAAAAGTTGTAGCAAAGTCTAGGACATCCTCTCCCTCCTGGTTCCTTCTTCCGTAACCAAAACCTCCATGTGCCGCCTCGAAACCTGTATTAGATGCTCCTACATGGCCATTAAGGTCTCCTCCAATGAAGAGCTTCTCGCTACTAGGTACAGCCCTGACTAAGCCATCCAAGTCCTCCCAGAATTGCCTCTTAGCACACTCATCAAGGCCTACTTGGGGGGCATATGCACTAATAACGTTTAAGACTATATCACTAATGACGAGTTTAACTAAGATAATCCTATCTCCTTGCCTTTTCACCTCCACCACACCACCCTGGAGGCTCTTATCGATCAAAACTCCCACTCCATTTCTATTCGAAGTTGTCCCTGTGTACCATAGCTTGAAGCCTGTATTGTCCACCTCCTTCGCCTTTTGACCCTTGACTAATAAAGAGTTACTCGTATTAAATTGTATGTTTTCTCTTTGTTTATTTTCTAATACAATATACATATATAATAGATACTCTATAGTCTATATCTAGTTATCATAAACTTATTAATTATGATTTTTTTAAAATTATTAATTTATATATTAAATTGTATGTTTATTTTCTTAGACTAATCTGTATGTTTTTTCCATCAATATTCATGTTTTTCTTTCTATATGACATCTCTAGTATTTTAAATATGTAATTATTTTCAAAACCTTATCATTAATTATGGTGGCTCTTGTCGTATCACATATCTTATGGAGTTATGAATTTTTCCTAAATTTTATTCTATTGATGGCTACTTTTTCTATCCTCATGTTAAGTTGGAACTCTTTGTGCTTACTATATCTTTCACTAACTCTTCTTTTTGCACATTTTAAAAATAAGCATTGTGTGTTGTAAGAGTACGTTTATAAATACTACAATACTGTAAGTCATCATTTGAAACATCACCATGTCACTTAAGATAAGTCATAGAGCTTGAAGTGAGGTATCAAACGGGGTAATGGTGCCAATACTTAAGTCTTGTAAATGATAAATTTTTTACTCTAAATATTCTTAAAGGGCACAAAAATATATGCAAAATAGTATCCCACACTTCTCAAGATGATTGAATTTTCCTGTCAAGAAATTATATTTGCAATTATGGTTCTACTTCCAATATAAACATGTCAAACATTTTATATATATAACTATACCAAGTAACAACCTATAAATTACATGTTTTGGTTACTAATATGATTTTAAACAATAATTTGTTACTATCATTAGCATATGAGTTGTTGAAGAATGTTTTTATTTGATGAAACATAACACATATGTTTACTTTAATCAAATCTATATTTTTGCATGCCCATAGCTTTTAGTTTTAAATTGATTTTTTTTGTTCTCAAACTTAGATTTATTTTGACACATCTAAAGCTGTAATAGGACATCAAGTTAGCGATCTATGGAGTTTTGTTGTTTAATCTTTTACAATTCTTACTTAATCATGAAATTAGGGCTTAATCAATTGTTGTCACTATCCGCAACCACGAGTTTGTTTATTTTATATCTTTTTTTGAGAAGTTCGGGGGAGAGCATCCCTACCTTTTCATTTCATAAAAGGAGCATACATGAGCAGTTTGTTACATGTCGTTTATGGGATATTAGCAGGGGGTGGGGAGGAGAACAGCAAAGCCCAAGCATGGGCAACATGTCTATCCGATGGGGGCAACCTACATGCCCAAAGCTCGGCATCTTCGCGACACCCTGCGAAGAGGCGAGTGTAGCAAGGAGGCAGGGAACGGAACACAACGTCATGCCTGTGCTTCCAGAGATGCCAACAACAAAGAAGAAGAAAGGCATTGGAGTGGGCAGCAGGGATGGTTGACGGCGGTCGAACGCGCCAAAGAGTAGTAACATTTTCTTCTTCAATTTGCACACCGATCCGGTGCCAAAAGCCAACCGCAAAGGCGCAACCGGCAATAAGATGAGCTGTGCTTTCAACCTGAGTGCCGCACAACTCACACAGGTCTGAGTCAATGCAATGCTTCTTGAGTAAGTTCTCCCGTGTTTGTATTCTGTCTTGGACGAGCAGCCAGCCAAAGAACTTAACTTTGGGAGGGGCACGGTTCTCCCAAATGAACATATAATAGTCGCAGCTGCCACCTACTGCAATGACAGACTTGTATATCATGGATGAGTTGTGGCGATGTGCTTTGTCCTCCCATGGGCAGCGGCGAACATCCTGAGCATTGGTGAGACTAATTTCTGCAAGCACGGTGGACAGTTGGGTGAACTCTTCGGTGGCAACAGAAGAAAGCCGGGGCACAAAAGCCGATCTTAGATCAGCGACAAGCACATGATGAACTGAGGCTTTAGGACGACGGGTGTGGATGTAGAGAGCGGGCATGGCGTCCACGAGCGGTCCAAGCGCTAGCCAGCAATCATGCCAGAATGTTGTAGAACGCCCATCACCCACCTCTACCGTGGTGAGCAGCCGATAGTCTGGAAGAAGCTGACGCAGAGAAGCCCAATGTGCTCCGGCACTAGTGGACTCCGGCGCTCCAAGAGGACCTCCAAATTCAATTTCAAGCCAGCGAGACCATGCTGAATCTGTCGCAGTGTGCGCTCTATGGAGCAGTTTCATGAGCAAGCAGGTATTCTGGAGAGAAAGATCTCGAACACCCAAGCCGCCGTTCTCCTTTGGCAAGCAAGATTTAGTCCAGCTGACCAAGCACTGAGCACCAGAAATAGATTCTTCACCGGCCCACAGGAAGGCTCGTCGACGTGCATCAAGAGCGTCCACAACATCTTTAGGGAGTTGCAATGCTCCCATTGCATACACCGGAAGACTATCTAGAACAAAATTGACAAGGACTAGGCGGCCACTGTGGTTGAGGAGGCTAGACCACCATCCTGATAAATATCTGTCAACACTCGCAATAATTGGCGCAAAGGCAGAGAGATTCAGCTTCTCATTGGAGAGTGGGAGACCAAGGTATGTCTGGGGAAATCACCCTGTGCACAGCCAAGGATGCCCACAAATTGGGTAGCAACATTTTGAGGGACATGCATCGGCACTAACATGCTTTTGTTGTAGTTGATGGTGAGACCTGTAGCTTTAGAGAAACTCGTTAGGAGCTCTTTGAGACGCTCCACAGCCTGTACATCTGCCCAGGCTACAATGAGCGTGCCATCAGCATATTGGAGAATTGTGCATGGCCGATCAGATGCAAGTGGGTGGCGCAAAAGTGTGTCGGTGGAGAGTAGCTGTTGTAGCAGGTCGGCCACAAGGATGAACAGGTACGGGGATAAGGGATCGCCTTGCCGCAGCCCCTTACGACAAGAGATCCAATGCCCAGGCACACCACTGAGCAGAATTGCTGATTTGGACGTTTCCTGAAGATTCTTTATCCAATCACACCATTGTGTGGGGAACCCTCTCGCTTTTAGAATGGTGAGCAAGCTCTCCCAGCACACGCTGTCAAAGGCCTTAGCAAAGTCCAGCTTCAGTACAATGGTCGGTGCTTTGTGTTTATGGCAGCATTGGACAAGCTCTGTAGCATACACAAAGTTTTCTGAGATGGAGCGCCCCTTGATAAATCCTGTTTGATCAACATCCACTAGTTTTGAGATTTGAAGTTGCAGTCGGGAGGAGAGAATCTTGCCTACAATTTTGATTGGACAGCCCTATAAGGAAATGGGACGGAAGGCACCAGGTGTGACTACATCTGAGGTTTTGGGTAGCAGCACCACATAAGCACGATTTATCCGTTCTAAATCAGCAGAACCATCGTAGAAGGCAGCAAGAAATTCCATCACGGAAGGCATCACAAATTAAAACTCTAGGCTGAGCGGTAGAACCTTGGGCCAAAGCCATCCGGACCAGGGGCACTGATGGGGTTCATGTCTCTGATTGCAGCTCGCGCCTCTGAGACAGTGAATGGAGTAACCAAAGGCAATGAATCCACCCGAGGAAGGTCTCTGTAGATTCCATGAATATCAAAGTCCCAAGATGTTGCTGCAGGACTTCCAAGCAAAGAGGTGAAATGGTCGCTCAATATTTGCTCTTTGTCCACATGACCAGTGAATCGTAACCCTTGCACTTCTAGAGCTTTAATATGGTTCTTGCGTAGCTGCTGTGAGGCATGTGCATGGTGAAATCTTGTGTTTTCATCACCTTCTTTCACAGCTCTGAATTTCCCCCTTTGCTTCCAATATGCAGCCCGAGCCTTGAGAAGTTGGAGGAGCTTTTCTTGACACAGAGACCTGAGAGTAGCTTCACCTGCACACAGACGACGATGCTCTTCGAGTAGATCAAGCAGACGAATGATAAATTTGCAGTTGTTAATAAGGAGGGGTGTGTGTTTGTGTTTTGACCATTTCTTGGCGACGCGGTGAGTGTCCTTCAGCCTAGCTGCAAGCATGCCCGCCGGACCACCTGCATTGTTAGTAATAGCATGCCAAACCAGTTCAACAGCAGGGAGGAAAGAGGGGTCATGTAGCCAAGCATTCTCAAAGCGGAAGCAACGAGTTTTGGGAATAGAGGTGTCAATTGTGATGAGGAGTGGAGTGTGATCAGAGGTGGCATGAGGGAGTGAAGTGAGAGTAGTGTTTGGCACAACAGAGTCTAGGTGCGAGTTAAAGAAGACTCTATCAAGGCAAGCAAGAGTGGGGATTTCCCGCTTGTTCGACCAGGTGAACAGTCTATCAAGAAGGGGCAGCTCCAGAAGAGAGAGGCCGTGGATGGCCAAGTTGAAGATTTCTGCAAGGTGAGCATTGAAGTTATTATTGTTCTTCTCATCAGGAGTACGGATGAGGTTGAAGTCAGCAGCGATGATCTAGGGGCCAGTAACAACACCTGCAATCTCTTTGAGTTCATCAAGAAATGCAGGAGTTTGTTGGTGATCAGAAGGAGCATAGACATTTGTCAGAGTGAAAGTGAGATCAGAGAGAGTTGCAGTGAGGGTGGTGGTGACTGAAAAGGAACGAATGTCAGCTGAAAGAAGCGCGAGCTGGGAGTCGTCCGAGGTGGTGGCGACGCCACCACGAGAGCCATCAGCAGCTAGGAAACAATGGCCACGGAGGTTGGCAGGAAAGAAGGATCTGAATTTTGGTGGCGAGATGGAGCTGAGCTTAGTTTCCTGGATGCAAGCAACAGAGGGGTGGCAAGTGACTAGAGTGTCTCGTACAACGATACATTTTTCCTCCTCGCCAAGGCCGCGCACATTCCAGGACACAATGGTTAACTTACGATTGGAGCTCATTTGGAACTCTTCAACACCTGATTCAGGGATTCAGCGGCAGAGGTAGACAGCTCAGCAGTACCGCCATAGCCCTCAAGTCCGTTGCATTCAGAGTCCTCTTGCGGAGGAGCCCACAGCGTTTCACCTGAACTTTGAGGTCTTTTGAGCAGCCTGCAAGTTCGTTCTCCAGCGCTTTTAGGCGTGATGCTTTAGTGGACATGTCCACAAAGTTGGCAGCTTCCTTCTCCCGCAAACGCACCACTGTGACGCTGCTTAGGCAGCTGGGCTCCCTTCTTGTGTTTGGCAGCTTTGTCTGCAGCCCTGCTTGGCACGAGCACGGGTCTTCCGTGCTAAGAGCTCATGGGCAGAGGCGTCGTCAAGCAAATTCAAGCAACGGCTGAGGCTCGGGAGAGGCGGCTGGCAAGGTGGTGGCTGGTAGGGGGACAAAAGGTGCAGTTGGTGGGGCAGCAGCAGAGGCGTGGGAAGCGTGAATGATGATAGGAAGATCGGGGAGTGGCGGCAACAACAAACCCCGAGGCTGGTGGATGAGCTTGTGCATCAGTGCGGCAACTTCGGCGAGTGAGGCAACAGCACGAAGCACGGTGGGAGCAATGGGATTGGGATGACATGGTGGTGCCGGGGTCGAGAGCAGTTGCAGCGAGGCTGGAGCTGGTGTGGGGAGAAGGCACAGAGGCCGCGCGTGGGAAGATGCTGGGTGGAGTGGAGGTGAGAGCAAAAGCGGTGCAGGGCTAACGAAAGGCAGGCTGGAACCTGCCGCATCCAGCGGCCAAGCACGCTGAACATTGACAGAACAAATGGTGCAGCTGCCAGCGGAGGCATCGCGTACCCACAAGTCACACGGCACGCTGTTAACGTCCTCGACTAGCACGACAACCCGGAGCTCAAGAAATCCTGGGTTGTCTATGTAGTTATGCATGTGCGGAGGCAAGGGTACCGGGGCAGGTGGAGTTGGAGTGGTGTGGCTGCTGCAGGGTGCAGGTGAGATGGTGGCGCGCCGAGCGGGGAGGCCCCGAGAAGTGAAGGAGCTGTTGGTCGGCTTGGCATAGTGGCGCTCCCGATGCCCAGAGAGCCCACACCGACGACAACGAATGGGTTCGCGACAGGCCACTGACCGACCATCAGAGTTAATTGGTTTTTTTGTCGAGATGCTTCCATAGCCTTGATTATCAGGAGATGTTTTATTATCAGGAGATAGCCATATATAACAACGTTGCTAGGGGGGGCCTGCCCCCCTCCATCTGCCACTGATTACACAGTACTGAACATTTAGAAAACTACTGATAACATTAATATGATTTCGGAACAGCGAGGAGAAATGTCCACTTGCGTGTTTTGCTATTGGAATAGTAAAAATATTTACGGAATAACTTGTTCTGCTGATGACAAATATTCTTATTAACAAACAACTATCGAAGACTTTCTCTATGATTCAGTAGTGTGGTTAGATTTTTCTCTGACTTGGATTCATTAGTTTTCTATTTTGCCATCATTCAGCAGCCATTTCTTTCCTCTTCAAGTACTGTTGTGCTTTTTTTTAAAAAAAAATCAGCACGGCAGGTTTCCCTATTATTCAAAAGAAAAATATAAATAAACATTTTTCTTACGATTCAGAAAACAAAAACCCGGATCGAATCAATGATTGCTAAAACTCTACAAGAGCTCCTTTGAAAGTAAGGGGGAGCAAAATCCAGATTTAGAGAAACCCACCACTAAAAACTAAGATGATAATTAAAATGATATCGCTATGAAATACCCACCCAAAGAAAAGTCAGAAAAAGTGGAGTTTCAAAATTAGAGCTAAAAGAATTCCGGAGCAAAATTAAACCCGAACAGAAATGACTATAGAATGAACATAGAAGAAGCTAAGAAAAGAGCGACACTCCGTCACCACACGCAAAGACGCATCGGAGCAGTACCACTTATAACAGAGATAGATTGAACCAATATGAACTACTGGGTAGCTCTAATGGAAGAAAAGACATGAACTTTTCCGCGCAAAGCGACTGCTCTAGCAGGAACATGTACGCACCTGCTGTTCAGAATAGAGCTTCCTCTGTTAGTTGGCGAGAGCCCGCGAGAGAAGACCTTGATTTGGATCGGAGTTGGCGAGTGTTTGCAATCACGCAACGAACCAACAACCTTTATAGTAGTACCTACTAGTAGTAGGTAATTTTGACCAAATGAATCAGGGGAGGAGCCATCTCCACGGGCCCTCCGATAAATAAATTCCACGTACACGTGTCTACAATCGATGCTGTGTATGCATGGAGAGGCGGTGGAGCCTGTCTCCACCTAATTTTCTTCCTTCCTGCATGCCCTCAAAGCTGCGTGAATCCAAGAACGGCGTGCCCACCCATACCTCGATGCTCTTCGATCTCTCCTCTTCTCTTGCGACTTTTATGTCCAACTGCTTGCCACCAGTGTCCACGATGATATGTCCCTGTTTCATCTCCGGTGGCGGCCTCTGATCAGCTGGTCTATTTGTTCGTTTTTCTTTTATTTACACAGACAAGCGTCTTTCCATAACCCTCCGTCTCAGCAAATGTCATCTGCATAGGCACGGGCAAGGACCATCTCTGTTGTGTTTGGTGAATATTTATGATACAAAATAAGTATAACATTCATTATATGAAATATATTTTCGTAATAAATTTAATTGGAGACGTAAGTGTTGTCATTTTGGCTACGTAGGAACGACCTGATTTTTTTTTTGAAAAGAAATTTACTTTTTTCTTTACATGTTCGGCCTGTTCGCTGGTTGGTTTCTAGGCTGGTTTGGGCTGGCTGGTGCTGGTTTGTTATGAGAGGAAAATACTATTGGCTGCCTGGTTTGGGCTGGCTGAAACCAACAAGCGAACATGCTGATTATCTCTACTCGGTTATTCATTGGCTTTGTACATGGGCTGTCCTATAAAAACCAACTTCACAAATTTTTGTTGTAGTGACATCACAACAATTGGCAAGATAGCCAAAGAGTTTTTTATCCAGGCAAAAAAGGTGACAATCTAGTCTTCAGATTGAGTGTTATTAGTGTGTCTAATTTTTTTTAAGATCTCTTGTAGCTGTGTTTATCCTCGTAATACAGGGTGCAGAAATGTTTCAAGGTATTTGTATCATCTCAATGTAATGATCTTTAAGTTAATAAAGCTTTCCTTATAAAAAAAATATTGTACTATATGTAAATTAAGTAAACAAAAGGAAATGATTATTACCTTAAGATATGCTATTTGGACAAAGACACACTGCATATACAGTCGCTCTTGAGACTGTAATCTATAGCCTTTGTGCCATGTTCTCAGTAAAAGCTAATAAAACGAATAAATGGCGCAGCTACAACATACACAAGCTCAACCCTAACAGGAAATTTAAAGTTGGTCGCCATTTGATACTATGGAAGCACAAACGCCTAATTAAAGTTGTGAATAAAATGGCGGCTGTGCCGTGCCAAATCTATTCAATAGGAAATTTGAAAATCAGTGAGTACAGAGGAAGGACAATCATGTGAAGACGAAAGTATAAGAGTATAGAGGCATAAAGTAGGGAAAATACTCTTTATTCCCTGATGAATATCGATAATTATAATACAGAGCACTCTCACACACACATATAGTGCGGATAAAGGCCTAAGGGTGACACGGTGCTATTAGAAACATGGCCAGCCGGTGTGATCGGCACCCCGAAAGCATAAACGGCATCCATCAATCGGACACCGACAAATCGTGGCAGGATCTGATTCCACTCCCTTCCACTAGTTGAGTGGCAGGCAGGGTACCCGGTCCGCATGGCACTAACAAAGATGCCTGTACATCTTTGTTTATTTTCGAAGCAACCCAAAGACACCAAGGGCTGCTCTGCTTGGACTTCCATTATCGATCATTCCTTCTCTTCGAACACGTCTGATGCTAGCTTGCTTGTGTTTCTCTGCGTCGATGCTATAGCTGCTTCTATATATGTGCCCTGCTGCTGCTGCAGGTCGTACATGGTGGATCTCGAGCCAGTTCACGCACGGGCGGCCACTCTAAGTTGTGATCGATACATCAGGCATCTGTGATCTCGATTCGACCAAGTCGAAGCAAGTAATGGTGTGAGTTTGATAGTTGTCTGGTCGTTGTACCATAGTTGTGCAGGATGAGTGATGTATTCTCCTTAGTTGTATAGTTTTTTTTGGCAGTTTCCATTCATAATACTGGATTGTCACTTGACTTTTTTTTCCTTCATCTAATAAAAATCACGGCAAAGCTTTTGCCGTCTTAAAAAAAAAAAAAAGACCGTCTCTGAAAGTGAAACCAAAGCTTCGACACCAAGGAACGGATCGACCTGTGGGACCGTGTTTTTATATTCAAAGGAATACGGTCCCTGAAAGTGAAAGCACAGATGGAAATAATTTTATTCGCCCGTTCCTCTGCTATGGTGCTGTGCTGGACTAGTCTGGGGTGACCAGGTGAGCAACCCAATGCCGCGCCGATGAGTCTTCTCAGTCAAGACTCGAGGCCGAGGCACAGTAAAACCAAAGCTTCGACACCAAGGAACGCATCGGCCTGTGGGACCGTGTTTTTTTATTCAAAGGAATACGGTCTCTGAAAGTGAAGAAAACACAGCGACATGGGACACTGGCCAAAGTCCCGTTGATCAGGGCCGTCGATGCACCCGATCGAGAACCCGATTCGAAACGAAATGTGAGGCCACGTTTAGTTCCTTGCAAAGTTGGCGCCGACTGAATTCTGGATACACTGTAGCGCACTGTAGCGTTTTGTTTTTATTTGGTAATAATTGTCCAATCGTTGACTAATTAGACTTAAAACGTTCGTCTCGTAAAGTACAACCAAACTGTGCAATTAATTTTTGATTTTGTCAACATTTAGTACTCCATGCATGTATCACAAATTTGATGTGACGGAAAATCTTCTTTTTGTATAGTGTCAAAGTTTGAAATTGGTGGGAACTAAACGAGCCCTGAGCCACCCATCCGTGCGTGAACGGACGCAGCACCGCTTCCGCGGTTCGCACAACAGGAGGTCTACTATATATACCGCTCCACCGAGGGCTTCTATCGACACCTCGAAAACCACTTAAACACCGTATCTCCCTCCCCCAACAACGCGGAGAGAGTAAGATCGTTGGCCGGAGGAGATGGCGACCAAGATCTCCCACACCTACGATGACCACTTCGTGGTGTGGTTCGAGGCTGATGCCATCCGCACGACGCTCTCGGACTCCGGGGACGTGGTGGACTCGTGGCTGGACAAGATCTACCGCATCCACCTCCGCCGCCTCAACCGCCTCGTTGTTGGCCTAGACGTCGAGTGGCACCCGTGCACGTACCGGGGGGACGTCCAACCGGTCGCCGTGCTGCAGATCTGCGTCGGCCACCGCTGCCTCATCTTCCAGATCCTCCACGCCGACTACATCCCGGAGTCCCTGTTCGGTTTCCTGGCCGACGATCGCTTCACCTTCGTGGGCGTCGGGGTCCACGACGACGCGGCCAAGCTGCGGCTCGACCACGGGCTCGAGGTGGGGCGCGCGGTCGACCTGCGCAGCCTCGCCGCCAACACGCTCAAGCAGCCCGCTCTGGGCACAGCCGGGCTGCAGGCGTTGGTGTCGGAGGTGATGGGCGTCAAGATGGAGAAGCCGCAACATGTGCGTCGGAGCGCGTGGGACGCACGCAATCTGTCGTCTGACCAGCTCATGTACGCCTGCGCCGACGCGTTTGCATCGTTCGAGGTTGGCCGGAGGCTCACTACTACTAACACCAACTTGTGTTCGTATTGGTCGAAAAAAGTGTTACTAGCTCTCTTAGTAACACATTTTTGTTTGTGTTCCAATTGGCCATATTACTATAGACTGGTTTATTGTAACACATTTACTTGTCTACAGGAACATTTATCTAGTGTTACAATGATTTTTGCTGTAACACTTTTTTTTTCTCTAGTAACACTTCACGTTATGGTAGAATGTATAGTTTGTAACATATTTATTTATTTATCAAAAAAATCTGCCTAGTGTTACAGTGATTATCTGTTGTAACACTTTTTTAGTTCTAGTAACACATGGTTTGTAACACTTATTTATATCAATTGTAACATATTCAGATTATGAAATAAATATTTATTTCGTCTATACATGTGGCACACAGATTTTTATAGAATCACACAAATATGACACATTGCAAAATCACATAAACCACAAATTTCAATAATCATAGAAAGATCCACATGTCGTATGATGATTTCAAACATAGTGCTTGTTTAGATCAAATCATAATATATGTACATAATGATATGGCTCTAGAAAGAAAAATTCAAGAACTAGCTAGGATTCATAAAGTCCATAGATTCTTCTTCCATTCTTTGTACACATCGATGTAGGAATTCAACCATTAATTATTTCAACCTGCAAAGAAAATATAAGTTGTAACATTACAAATTAGGCCACGTAGGTACATTGATGTAAAATTAAGAAAGCTAGTTTGAACATACAAACATCGAAGGCCAATCAATTGGGACTCCTTTGGCTCGAACATCACCAATATTATTGCACCCAGGCATGGGCCCCACTAATGGCTCATTTTTTGCTATAGGATGATTGATACGCACTTTGTAGAATTGACTTCCTATCTTAACTTCACCAACAGTGGCTTTTGGATCAGAGAGTTGCATATGCCACATTAGTCTTATTATGATATTTTGAAGTCACTAGAAGCACCATGGACCCAACCTACATTAATTTGACATAATCTCTTAGTGACCAACAAATCTTAGTTGTACACTATGATCATGCAATTAGAACAAGTGATATTGTGTTCGTCTACCTTCATTAGAGAAAGTTGTTTATGTGTTTGACGCTTGTAGCATGTAGCCTTGTCATGAGCCACCTTCCGGTGTGCAATGATTGTAGTCTCTCCAGGCCCTCCGTGATGACCCTAACACATTCAAAATGAAGTATGAAATAATAAGAAAAAAATTATACTATAATTATAGCAAAGTGTGATTCATAGATACATTTTGTTTCTTTGTTATTCTACTTGTGGTGGATAAAAGTAGACTCTCATCATCACTAAATTCAGACTCACATGTTTCTTTATTCTAGTAAATAGAAAAAAGACAGTAGCATGAGTTAGTAAAAAAAATCTTTTGTGGATAAAATAAGTATTAAATTCACAAACAAGTGACTTTGTCAATTCATCCTTGTGTTTAAGGAATCCATCATTCTAGTTGGGTGCAACACATTGAACTATGTAAAAATTTGAAACAATATTAAAGCCAAAAGACTAGATTAGGTGAAAACATGAAAAATAGAGCAAATAACTTTCTTTTAGAATGCACCGCTTGATTCTAAGAATTATTATGATCACTCCTAGCACAATTTCCCTAGAAAAAATATAAAGTTTGAGTAACACATTTCAATATAGAGTTATAAATTAAAATGTACATTATTACCATTGTTGCTTCTTGGTTCTCATGGTGTCTTTGATTGTTTTTTAGTTCTGCAACAAGTTTGTCATGCATTCTAGAATGCGCTTTGAGTTGCCTTATTTCCTCCAACATGTGAGTCTGTATATCAGATGATGAGCCATCTATTGAAACTATATTAATATCCTTAAAATAGTGTGTTGTTCGACCATAAACTTGTTTAGAAACTGGAAGCAATCCCATGCTGTGCACATGTCTAGGTTTCTCTTCTCACAACACCTGATGTAATGCATCACCTTCTCATGCAACTCCTCACTCACTATTTTGTGCTAACTTTGGTTGTGTGTCTAGTAGACTTTCCATTGAACCTACACAAGCAAGAAATCCACACATTAGAAAACAAAAATAAATTTATATTTGCAAAAATTCCCATGTGCATGTAGCATACCACTGGTTCATTTACCCTTTTTCCCCTTTTCCTGTGAATAGTTAAGTTGTACTTGAATAATCAGATATACATATAGAAGAGTTGATATACATATAGAAGAGTAAATTATATGTTTATTTTGATACCTTTAGTTTTATTTGGTTTAGATTTGGATGGTTCTTTGTTGGACTTGGTAGGCGCTAAAGTGGTCAGTCTCTACTTCGTCACAAACAAGCTAACCATCTTTTTGCTCTCACACTCGTTAAGCATTTCCATCACTTCAAAATCTTGTTCTATTACAACCAAGTTATCTTTTCTCCTGTAGTATAGATAGTCGACTGATGTGTAACCATAATCCTTGATCAAATCAGTTGAAGTAGCATATCTCGTCTCTATCCATTTCCATTTGCACATGTTTCTGTCCTTAAGCTACTATACCCCATCGCATTCAACATTTATGGTCCAAATATCCACCACCATGGTAGCACAATCTAAATAAAATTTAGAACCAATAGAAAAATAAGAATAAAGCATAGGATAATTCTCAAATAAGAATCAAGTACAACAAAATAATAACAATTAGACTAAAGTGCATATTTGTAATGTTATTTGAACTTGGAGCTTGAGAACAAGTAAAGTGCTATGGTTCAAATAGGGCGTGCCTCACCGCCTTTGTGTTCTCTAGTCTGAGCAATCAAACAATAAGTATCTCGCTGAAACATTTGCACTAAGCCATATGCACACAGACCAAGTTACAGTCTCACATATATACTAATCCATACTCCAGCTAGGTATACAGGAATAAAGAAAGAAGGGTCATGACGGTGCCATATTCCTGGGATGTACCGACTACCGGATATGCTGGCTATCAATCCGTACCGAAGGACGCCCAGGAGATCACGATTCGCCCTATCCAAGGAAAGATATCTGAGGATCACGTCCAAGAGTCCGAATAGGGCACGACTTATATAACTTGTAGGGCAAGTAGGCCTCAGATATAAATAGCTAGCACCTCCACCTGTTGTATCTATCGAAACTCTTATAAGCATAGCCCTATTGTAATCTGTCATCTCGCCATCCCGATCAGTTCATAATACAAACAAGTAAAACTGTAGACATAGGGGCTTCCCGAGGGCCCTGAACCAGGATAAATCATTGTCTCCCTACTATGTTGCTCTTCGCACCAAGTGAATCCCGCCAAGGACCGAATATCTGCTGGTAAAAAACACCGACATAGGCGCGCGGGGGATTTCGTGCAGAAGAGTGATCATGCCGATCATGAACGGAGTTTGGTTTGCCGATCCGGCGCATTCTGACGCCGAGGCACTGCCAACATCATTCAAAGCTGAGCGCCTAGGAGATTTCAACTCTGGGCCTCAAATCTATTCACTATCCCGCAGCATGCCGCCGACTATCTATTTTGGTAGCCTGGTATTCGAGCATGATGGCGATTTCCATCTTAAGTTGACCGGGATTGACGACCCTGATCTAACTCGCGCTGGTCGCGAGCTCTTCACCCTTCACGGTCACCCAACCGAGGAGGAGATGCAAGACAAAGACCAACAAGTCGATCTAGACACCATTGACTACGAGTACTCCAGCGATGAGATAAACCCTTTCGAAAGTCGCCGGATCTACATGGCTAGTCGCGATCGGACTCCACCGCTAGATGAGGCCGGGTCTTCAGCTACCCATCTACCTCCATGGTTGAGCAATGCGCCAACTATCAATACGGCGGCGCCGCAGCAAGCTGCACCATCCGTCCTGACTCCGAGGAATCTGAGTTCTGACTTCCAAGTGGTTCAGGACGAGAATGTCCAACTTAAGACGCTTCTAAGTTCTAACTACTATGGGGGCATTGGCTGAGGATGGCTCACCGTTGGCCAAGGTCATCGAGCAGGCTCACGAGCTTGCCGACAAGAGCAGGCTCATCGAGCAGGCTCACGAGCTGGCCAAAGTAGGGAAAATATTCTTTATTCCTGAGCATCTAAAACTATAATACAGAGCTCTCTCGAACACACATAAGTGCGGACAAAGGCCTAATAAGGGTGACACGGTGCTGATAGAAACATGGCCAAAGCAAAAACAGCATCCATCCATCAATCGAACACCGACAAATCATGGCAGGATCTGATTCCATTCCCTTACACTAGGTGAGTGGTGGCAGGCAGGGTCGGTCCCCATGGCACTAACAGAGATGCCTGTACATCTTTGCTTAGGCCATGTTTAGTTACCTAAAATTTCAGAATTTGGCACTATGCAAAAAGAAGATTCATCGTCACATCAAATTTGCGGTACATGCATGGAGTACTATATGTTGACGAAATTAAAAACTAATTGCACAGTTTAGTTGTACTTCACGAGACGAACGTTTTGAGCCTAATTAGTTAACGATTGGACAATTATTACCAAATAAAAACAAACGCTACAGTGGCTACAGTGGCGCGCCGAATCCGGCGGCGCCGATTCGGTGGCCGAACTAAACGCGGCCTTATTTTCGAAGCAACCCAAAGACACCAACAAGTACATCCTCCTCCTCTGTTTCTCCCCCAGGTGTTACAGTTACAGTAAGCGATTTCTTTCTTTCGTTGTATGCAGCTAGCTGTGCTTGTTTAGTTGTTTGTCGCATCGATTTCAATGCTCTGGCCACAGATTATTGCCTTTGTTATATAAGGAGTGCAAATTGGGAGGGACTAGCTAGCTGATATCTAATTTCTGTGATTTGCTTCCTAGCTCGGATTGGGAGATTTATTTTATAACGTTGAGTTAATGAAATTTTGGTTTAATTTCATGTACTACAAACTACTCCAGGCCTTGAGTTGTAGCTAGGATCTACCTTGTTCAGTTTCTTCTTCCAGATCGACTCGACTCTCACGTCCCTCTTCCTTTCGATCTATTCTTTCTAGCTTGTTGGCTGCTATCTGTCACATGTTGCTGCATCGAGGAATTTGATTCACTGTCACAAACTAGCTGCTATTGCTAGCTACTCTCAGCAGGCCCGATCCGGCCGGCCGAGCTGCACCAACGTCGTTTTTCAGGAATTTGTTTCACCGTCATACCCGATAGGCAGGCACCGATCCAGATCTTGCACCAACGTCGTTTTTCAGCAAACACAGGTGAGCTCAACTCCAACCCAGCTGCAACTTATGAGTCTTCCAAATCTCAACAAGCTTCGCTTTCTAGCCACTCAAATACCATGGTTTTCTACAGAACAGTTCAAGAGGTGGCGATGTGGGATTCTTGGTGAGCGCGTGCGCATCCACGTTTCTGTCCTAAACACACGAGCTACTGGAGTGACGTGCTACTATTAGCTGAAGCTTTGGCTGAGCCATGGCGGCAGCTGCCGTCGTGAGCGTCTCCTTGGGTGTGATGAAGGAAGCCTGTCCTAGCCAAGCTCACCACCCTCATGGGCGACGAGTACAAGAAGATCAAGGGGCTGCGGAAGAAGGTGGCCTTCCTCCAGCATGAGCTCAGCGACATGGACACTCTCCTTGAGAAGATGGACAATGCCGATGAACTAGATGACCCACAAGCCCAGAATTGGAGAAAAGATATAACTGAGATGTCCTACGACATCGAAGACTGCATTGATGACTTCATGCACCGTGTTGGTGAAGCCGATGATAAGATGGGACTCCTTAAGAAAGCTTTTCAGTATCTAAAAACTTTCAAGGATCGTGATCACCTAGCAAATCAGTTTCAAGAGATGCAGACCCGAGTGATGGAAGCAAGTGAACGCCGGAAAAGGTACATGCTTGATCAATGCATCTCAATGACCGCCACCCCTGTAGTTGTTGATCCTCGACTCACAGCACTCTATAAGGAGTCAGCAAGTCTTGTGGGATTTGTTGCCCAAAAGAATGAGCTTGTCAATTGGGCAGTGGACAACGACAAACAATTGAAGGTGATGGCAATAGTAGGTCATGGTGGTTTAGGAAAGACCACACTTGCCAATGAGGTGTATCACGAAGTTGGAGAGGAGTATAATTGCAAGTCATTTATATCAGTCTCTCAAAGGCCAGAAATGATAGAGCTATTGAGCAGGTTGCTATCACAACTTGGACTAAGCACAAATTCTCATGGTTGTCAGGCGCGAGATCTTATCAACAACGTTCGAGAACATCTACAGGATAAGAGGTACTCATCTTTATTATTTTGTTTAACATTGAAGGATTAAAATTTCTAGCTGCTTGAACTTTAACATGTAAGTTTCATATTTATTGTTTGACCAAATCTATTTGTAAGGTTTAGTTTTCAACTCACTCTGTTTCAAACTATAAGTTGTCCTACTCCACGCATATATGTGGGGCGCAAATTTTTTCAATAGGGGGTGGCAGCATTGCGACAATGGCGCCTGGAGTAGAGTAGAGAGAAGGAAGATCAGAGGGGAAGGAGAGGAGGAAGAAAAGGGGAAAGGGTAGGTGGGATTTACATGTGGGCCCTAGCTATTAGATACATGTAAGCGTTTTTTTTGACTGAAGTCAGTAGGGGAAACCCCCAACCTATTTTTTTTGTTTTTTCAGACCTTATTAATTCGGTCCCACGGAGAGTCGAACACATGTCTGTTGGATGTTACTCAGGTGCTCTAACCCCTAGGCTAGAGGCCATTTGGCGATACATGTAAGCGTTGAATTGGCATGGCACGAAGGATAGCGGATCTGGTAAATGCCCGTTTGGACCATGACGAAACTAGTTACAACTTTAGGGGGGGGCAAAATGCTTTTTGAGACTCTAGGGACCTAGACGACACCTCTAGATAACATCGAGGATTGCTGGTGAATTTTACTCTAGTTTTGTTACATCATATAGCGATAGCACTATATGGTGAGCAGGCTTGTAGAGAAACAAAATAATATAGACATGCCCCTATAGAATATATCATATCCTGCCTAAAGTCTGCTGCTAAACTTTCACTTAGTATAGGAGAAAAAATCTTCGTGACAACATCACCCTTTAGAAAATATATATAGTATGTCGTGCTGTGTGGAAGGGTTTGCTTATAAAGCAAATTATTTCCTTGGCCCTAAAAAAAGTACCTCTTAGTTTCTTGGCCCTTTTTTTTCTTGAACTTGCTTAGTTGGCCCTAAAACGAAATTCCTTTGGTTTCTTGGCCCTTCCGTTAGTTTGAGACGATAACGGCGTTAAGTTGTACGCGAAATTACTATGTTACCCCTAGTGCCGAATGCACATTAAAGAAAGCAATACTTTTCTGTGTCATGTTGTTGCATCCCACAAAGGTCTGTTTTTTTTTTTTTTTTTGCGAATTACACAATGATAGAACACTATTAAATGATATTTCGCATGCATGTTTGTATGGCTAACTCATGATGGTTGTGTGGATTATGTTTGCAGGTACCTTATTGTAGTTGATGATTTGTGGGATGTGTCATCATGGGATACCATTAAATGTATTTTTCCAGAAAATGGTAAACAAAGCAGAGTCATAGTAACAACAAGACATCAAGATGTGGCCATGTCGTCATGTTCAAGTGGCAAGGGAGATGTTCATAACATGAAGCCGCTCAGTGAAGAAGAAGACTCAAGAAAATTGTTCAATAATAGAATATTCGGTCCAGAAGGTGTCTGCCCTCCTCAGTTCCTTGATGTGTCATCTGAAATCTTAAAGAAGTGTGTTGCAATTATTACAGTGGCAAGTATTTTGGCTTGCCAGCCTACAAGACTAAAGGATGAATGGGAGCAAATACAGGACTGTTTATTAACCTCCCAAGCACCAACAAACTCCACTCTAACAGATATGATGCATATCTTAGACCTCAGCTATAAGTTTCTGCCTCTTTATCTAAAGGCATGCTTTCTTTATCTTGGTAGTTACCCAGAGGATCATGAGATTGAGAAGGATGAACTGGTTAGAAAATTGGTAGCAGAGGGTTTTGTGAGTGGCCAAGTCAGGCGAAGCGCATGGGATGTTGCAGAGAGCATGATTCAGCTTGCTTATAGAGACTATGCTTTTTTTAAGAAGCCATACTACAAGGTGCATGATATGATGCTTGACTTGATTCTAAAGAGGTGCATGGAAAATAACTTCATCAAGGCCTTGTTTAGATGATGATTGGGAATCAGTATTTGGCACTCAGAGCACTTTCGTTTGTATTTGATAATTATTGTCCAATTATGGCCTAACTAGGCTCAAAAGATTTGTCTCGTAATTTACAATCAAACTGTGTAATTAGTTATTTTTTAATCTACATTTAATACTTCATGCATGTGTCCAAAGATTTGATGTGATGGAGAGAGAGAAAAAAACTTGGAATCTAAAAAGGCCCAAGTTGGTACAATCCAAGGCCCCTTGTTTAGTTTTTGCGGTGGGAATCTAAACAAGGCCCAAGTTGGTACATGATCCGCAAGCCAAGGCCTTGTTTAGATTGCAAATTTTTGCAATCTGGATACTGTAGCACGTTTCGTTTGTATTTGACAAACTTTGTCTGATCATGGACTAACTAGGCTTAAAAGATTCGTCTCGTGATTTACAACCAAACTGTGTAATTAGTTATTTTTTTACCTACATTTAATGCTCCATGCTTGCGTCCAAAAATTAATATAATAAAGAGAAAGTGAAAAACCTTAGAATTTTGAGGCAATCTAAACAAGACCCAAAACTGCAAGTCAAGGTCCGTCGACTCACCGTCCACACAGCAGCTGATGTGACCATTAGTAGGCAGCTATCACAAGTTCGCTCCAAATTCCAAGTTTTTTCATTCTCTTTCCATCACATCAATTTTTAGACGTATGTATGGAGCATTAAATGTAGGTAAAAAAATAACTAATTACACAGTTTGGTTATAAATCACGAGATGGATCTTTTGAGCCTGGTTAGTTCATGATCGAACAAAGTTTGTTAAATATAAACGAAACGTGCTACAGTATCTAGGTTGTAAAAATTTGCAATCTAAATAAGGCCTCTGTCTCTTTAGAGCAAACTGTGTGCCTTCTTTGTCAGAGTTGATGTTTCTCAGGGTATTATTTTTACATGGATTTCCTAGGCACCTAGAGAGGATCAACCTTACATGTGTCACCCAGCTGTCGCAACTGCGTTACTTGAAGGTTGCACGTGAGGCATGGTATTTTAACAAACCGGAATGCCACGTAGTGCTACCTAATCAGGTTCGGAGCGTGCATCGTTTGGAGACGCTGGAAATTGATTACCTTGATGTTTTGAGCATTCCACCAGATATCGTCGATTTGTCATGCTTGTCCCATTTGTTTGTAGGGGATTTGAAGATGTTGCCGCATGGGATTGGCAAGGTGAAGACGTTGCGCACTCTGAGCTGGTTTAGGCTGCCGGCAGATTCGTCAGGTATTGTTACTGAGAGCCTCGGCGAGCTCGCCAATCTGGCAGAGCTGTCTCTAAGCTGTCGTGTGGAGGGACCAACCAGGGGATGTTTACCGATGACGACGGCATGGATGGCCTCGGTCCCTAAATAAATAAATAAATTTCTAAAATTATCTTAAGTCAAATCTTTTAAACTTTGATCGAATTGCTAGAAAAAAAAATGTTATGACTGCTTATGGTATCAAATTATTATCATTAGATTTATCATAAAATATATTTTTATAAGGTGTTTATTTTATATTATAGATATTGTTACTTTTTTCTATAAAGTATGAGTCAAATTTAAAAAATTTGACCGGCACGGATTTTAGTAATTGATTTATTTGAGGACAAAGAGAGTACCTGTGAATGAAAAGAAAGGAAGAAAAAAATAAATTACAATCGAGCTGTACCACACAATACTTACACTATAGTAATTTTCAGTCGCAAAAAAAAACACTATAGAAATTCTAAAAAAAAACACTATAGCACTATTGAAGGAGGTGAGAATCTAGACACCAAAAAGCCGGGTCGTTTAATAACGAATAACCTTCATGCATCCCCGTCTACATACAGCTGGTACGGTGCACACTAAAATACTCTGACATTGTATATATAGACCTACTTTTGCTAATGGGCCGCTACACTTTCACTACGTACTTGTGAACAATTTAAACTAGTACGGCGGATACAAAATGAAGGTACGCATGCACACTACGCGCTGTGCTTTATTGATCTATGCATACCTTTATCTAACCCTCGGATCATCGAGCATTTGATGCTGATTAAATTATATTTATTGAGTTGGTGACCATGTGGAGACTTCTTCTAAAAATTAGTTGATGTTAGGGAGTGTATATTGGCCGGGATGATTCGATCTTAGCCTTCTAAAAATTATATGTGGCCTGCCAACTCCTTGTTCTCAGATCTCGCACCCCGTTTGCCTTTCTTTGCCTAGATGAAGTGTGGCGCTAGCTATTTGGCGGTTTGCTGAACAGGCAGCCTAGCTACTAGCGGCTTTTGCCGCGGTGAGGTTCAGTCTTCAGAGTGGTGCGTGCAGTGGAAGACCTCCGGTTCACGCCATCGTTGATCTGCTTTGCTGGTCATTGACATCCGATCCCGGCCTATCTACTGCTCACTCCGTTCTAAAATATTTGTCATTTTTTTCTTGAGAAATAACTTTAATAAAATATATATTAGAAAAATATTATATTTATGATATATAATTAGTATCATTGAAAAGATCTTTGAATATAGTTTTTAACAAATTTATTTAGAGATATAAATATTGCATATATTTTTTACAAACCAAGTCAAACTTGAGGTATGAAACCAAAAGCGATAGATAATTTGGAACAGATGAAGTACATTGGTGCTCGAGCTTAGCCTGCTGCGCATGGTTGGTCATGGAGAGTGCATTTGCCTGATGAGTCTCGAGGAGAATAAGCTAGCTGGCTGCAGTGCATATGGAGTCGTACGTACTTTTTTCCCTCTTGTATGTATGTACGTAGAGGTAGAGCTTCCTCCACTGTGTCGTTGTTGCTGGACATGAAGGACCTCTTGGAAAGGGAGAGCAGCTGCTCGTGGTATTGTCCTCACCTGAGTCATACTAGCTTGAGGCATGGGCGGACCCAACACTAGGGCAGCTAGGGCCGCTGCCCTAGTCGTGGCCCAAATAAGCGACAAGGGAACAAGCGACAAGGGTGACGGACCGGATGTCGGACTGGGCCTAGGGGAAGGCAAGAGCTGGTTTGGGTGGAGAAAAAAGAAGCGAGGTGGACTGGACTGGGCCCGTGCGGCTGGGCCGAACAGGAGGAAGGGAAGAGTGAGCCGGTGCGGTGGAAGAAGGAAGGAGGAGGTGGGAAGGGCCGGATGAGGCCTGCTGGCCTATTTTCTTTTTTTAAAAATGGTATTCTTTTATATATATTACATAAAACACATAATGTTACCATGTTCATTAAGTGAGTGAATGTTGCCTTGGAATAAAAAAGAGATTAGAAATTGCAATCTTCGTATCTTTTGACATGGAACGTAAGTCTGCCTTAGCACTCGTCAGCTTGTTGTGGCTGACTATATATAGCCCGTTGCAACCAATCTAGTTTGTGACGTTTACGTGAGCTACCAAGTCATTATTGCATCAATATTTATGATGTTTTTATCTGTGTGGCATTTACCTATGTGGCACGGTCTAAGAGTATAAGATAAGATGAAAAAAGAATGTCACAAGTCCTTGTGATGTAAAAAAGTAATGTTATAGATTTATAACGGAACACCCATAAACACCACAAAACATGGTTAGAGACGCACGGTAGGTACTCATTTTTGTTGCGCTAATGTCACAAACTTGAGCTGTGACATAAATTATTTGTATTTTTTTTACAAGAAAATTATATGTATTTTGACATAAACGAAACATCACATAAGGTAACATGTGTTGTACTATCAATAGAATCTTACTATCACATATAATTAATTTATTATTGACACAAAGATTCTAGAGCTTGCAGGAACATGGATCAATATGACTTTTGAGAGAAAAGAAAGGTAATCATTTTTAATTAGCTGTATATACTAAATTTATCGACTAAGCTTTTTTTTGCGAAACATTTATCGACTAAGCTTTAAATACTTATATAATGTAAGATTGGAGACCGTGGGTACCGCCACTACCGGACTCAGGTCAGGCACTCGGCAAAGCCCATATTGCACTCGGCAAAGGAAGGGCTCACGGCGAACCAGCTATTGGCAAAGGGCTCTTTGCCGAGTGCCATTTGTCGGGCACTCGACAAAGACTTTGCCGAGTGCTAACACGGCACTCGACAAAGAAAAGTCGCCGTGACGGCGAGTTTGCCGAGAGCCACAATCAAGGCACTCGGCAAAGCCTGGAGCTTTGCCGAGTGTCATGGATATGACACTCGGCAATGCTCCAGGCTTTGCCGAGTGCCGGAGCTGAGGCACTTTCGGCAAAGCCGACACTTGGCAAAGCTTTTGCACTCGACAAAGGTGGTTCCTAGGTGCTCTGATTAGGCCACTTTGCCGAGTGTGTTGGCCTTGGCACTCGGCAAAGGGTGCTTTTGCCGAGTGCAAAACTCGGCAAAGTGACCAAAAATATTTTTTTATTTGTTTTTTACGTTCCATCCAAACAAACAAAAGATTTATATCACATTCATCACATATATCACAAATATAAATCACATTCATCACATATATCACGAATATGTATCACAAACACTAATCCATCACAACCACAAGTCCATCACAAGCACAAGTGCATCACAGTTGTGCAAAATAAACCACAAGTGCATCACAACCAACTATAAGTACATCACGGCGACTGTCGGGGTTGATGAGGCCCAGCATGCGATCCCGGCGACTCTCCAAGGTGATGAGGCACCTCATTCGATGCCGTCGATTGACGCTGCACAAAGGAGAAAAGATTGCATATGTGAGAAGATAAATATATACCAAACATGACTAAAACATTCATACTCCACTAGGTTGCTAGTATTGTTGTGGTTTGACCCTAAAGATGAGCATAAAAACTAAATTATTCATACTCATACTCACAGGAGTAGATGCAGGAGTTGTCGAAGCTGGAGCGAATAGCCCAGGTGGCACAGGTACACCCGTATGGGCCCCAAGAGTTTGCATGTACGCCAGAATCTCCTCCATCCTCCGCTGCTCGGCCTCTCGCTCGGCCGCCATAGCCTCCATCCTCTGCCGCTCGGCCTCCCGCTCGGCCGCCATAGCCTCCACCTGGGCCTGCAATATTTCACCATAATGTTTCAATAATGCAAAGCTAAGGTATGTAAGAGTCAATAAACGACGAATAAAATAGGAGTAACCTAGAGTGCCACCATCCGGTGCTGTGTAGTGTCCGACCATGGGCGTATGGCCGAGCTCGCGCTAGTGCTCCTTACTTGAATCTGTGAGAGAGTAGGAGTACTGGCGGTGTCGAGTGCGCCATCGCCAAGCCAGAACCGTCCATGCTTCTTGCCTCCTCCCACCCTCGTGATGATCTCTCCATCAAGGTCCTGGGTGCTCGGATCGTACTCTGGCCCATGGACCTCCCTTGCCGCGGACGTGTACTCGCTGAGGAGGCTGTGGACTGTGGCGTTGCTATGCGCCTCGGGCGGGTCCTCCAGGTTGTAGTCGATGTCGGATGTCGCCTTGCCCTTATGGGCCAAAGCGTATGCCTTGAACTGGGAGCAAGGCTGGCCATCATGTGACGACGACTGCGAGAAAAACATCAAGATGATTAGAAATCATGCAGAATTGAATGTTAGAATAAATAAATGAATTCGCGTACCTAGGTTTCTGCGTATCCACTGAGGCTGCGGCTGCCTTGATGGTGCGCTACACATGGCCTCAGCAAACGGTGCTCTCAGCAAGCGTTGTGTGTCTCCAACCACCGGGGGGAGCACCACCTATCCACCATATGTTCCCAGCACTCGGGATGCGCAGCGCACCAATAAGAAATCATCTCCAGGCCATCAAGTATATGAGATTTAAGAAGATGAAATTAAGCCTATTTAATCTCAAATGGAGTCAGTAATAATTAATGTTCTGTATTTACCTACAGGTACTGTTTCGGCTCCAGCGTCATGGTTCTTGCGTCAGCTTTGCTGACCTTCATGCCAAGGATGGTCCCATGGTAGTTTATGATGGCCTGGATGCGCGCCTCGTAATGCATGTCCACGACGAGTTTCTGGCAGCATCTGGTAGCCAGCAAATCCGCCTTAGCCTCAAATCCCTCCTGGCATCTGAAGAAATCCTGCATATATACGTGATGGATACATTCATTATTTCAAGAAAGTCCAATGAATGCGATGTATTGAGCAATGTAGTGCGACGAAGACTTACCCATAGCTTGCCCTTCACCCGTGCTACCTTGTTGGCGAATTCCCTGCCAGCCAAATCTCTAGCATCGGGGGCGGCGGTGTAGTGGTCAAACAAGTAGGCCGG